AAAATACAAACCCCTATAAAACCAGATTAAAAAACCGAATATTAGAAGCTGTGTCTCTATTTAAAATTATTTTTAAAATCACCCTAAATAAAATCCTCCCTAGGTCAGGCCCGCTTGCTGGAAAAGCCATGTCTTGAGGGCACGGCGGAAGGTAAGGAGATCCGGAATCGTCCGGATCTCGGGGGGTAGTTCGTTCCAGTTCGTTAATTGGAGGATTACCTGTAGAGTTGAATAAACCGCAATTCATCTCTGCCCACAATTCAGTGGCTTCTACAAATATAAGTTTTGAAATTTAGCCTCAACTATTCTAGCTGTAGACTTAACCGTTCTACTGGCTTTTCATAACATTCCTGTTTGACTGGTAACACAGCATTGTGTACACATTTAACTGTAATCCTTTCATTAACTTTGTAAGGAACATAGAACACAGAAGAATAGGGCTGGAAGGGGCCTTGGAGGTCATAGAATAACAGAGTTGGAAGGGACCTTGGAGGTCATCTAGTCCAACCCACTGCTGAAGCAGGAGACCCTGGGCCTATACTATTTCAGACAAATGGTTGTCCAATCTTTTCTTGAAAACCTCCAGTGATGAAGCACCCACAACCTCTGGAGGCAAGCTGTTTCACTGGTTAATTGTTCTCACTGTCAGGAAATTCCTCCTTATTTTGAGTATGGATCTTAGAATACAGTATAACAGGGTTGGAAGGGACCTTGGAGGTCTTCTAGTCCACACCCCCACTTCTAGTCCTGCCCTTAGCAGGCAATCCTAAACCATACTGGACAAATGGCTGTTTCAGTGTTATTGGCCCCAGATTACAGGAGTGATGAATAAGTGTGAGAAATATGGCTTTCTAAAATCCATGATCAGGATCCTTCTTAGATGTGTTCCATTCCCATAATTCCTACTTAGCACGGGCATTATGGGAGTTGGAATCTGGAGGTCATTAGCTAGAGAAATCTGGTGTATTCATATTTGAGGAGATAACTGGTGTTTTGCTAATCTACAACTTGGTTTTTTCCTTTGGTAGGCTAAGGAATTTCAGGGTTAAATGCTAAATAAAGTAATACTCCAGTGATAAGACTCTTCCCTGACACTCTAGTCTTCTACACATAAGAATGTTAATAGTATGGGTTTTACCTTGGCACAATCAATATTTTAATTATCTTGTCTGTTGTTTGCATGGACAGTGTATAAAGAATTTGTAGGCCAGTATTATAAGCCTTTCAACAAAGCTTGTAAGTTGACGAGAATTGAGCTGGACTGTGGGTTTTTTCTTCTTGTTTTATTGTGAAGAAGGGAAGGTAGATAATTCTCTGTGTGCCTCTCTGCTTACTTAGTTTTGTAGGCAGGAAAGGAAAACATGTTTTGACATTTGAAAAGATTTTGGAGGAGACATTAGGATGTGAGTTTAAATTATATGGGAGAAAAACATTGGTAGAAATGGGTATCTGGGTGTGTGGTCTTCCAATCCACTTGAGTTTTAGCTCTTTCCTCAAAGAGAAAACTCAGAAGTTGGTTATCGTTTTGTACTAAACCAGTATTCACTGAACTGTAGTTTACTAAAGAATAAAATTGTACAGAATGGAAAACCGTAACAAACTAAGGTGGCTAAGTTTGCACATCCTACTATGCCCAAGCCAATTACATTATAATTTGTTTGAATCTGTCTTAAAAAATGTAATTTTTTGTCTTTATGAACGTCTTTATGTACGATACAAATTTCCCAATCTCTCTGCTGTCCTCTAGCGGTGGACTCGATTTAGCAGTCTCCCCCAAAGAAGACATTCCTCAGCATGGGGCTCCCAGATCTGCTGGAAGTCCCATGATCCTCCCCCAGTTGAAAGGCTCCAGATGGGATGATAGCTACCTCCTCTGCCCTTCTAGCACTTAGCATATCTATGATATCGAAGGCGTGTGCTACTGTACTGTACGCTGTACAGTACTGTACAGCTAGCAGCAAGTGTCGGGCAGCCGTGAACCGCGCAGGCGTGGTTGTTCCTTTGGCGCTCGGGTTCCACATTGGCGGAAGGGAGAGGAAGGTACCATAGAGACGGCGCGATGGGGACGCCGGCCAGAGAAGAATTAGGTACCGTACTTGGCAAACGGATTCTCGCGAGTTGGGGGAGGCTGGGGGTGGAGGTGGGGAGCGGGCGGTGGGTCCAGAAGAAAAACGAGGAATTTTTATTTCTTTTGTTTCTTTTTTAGTCCCGTGTCGAGGTTTTGGGGTTCACCATTGAGCTTATTGCAGCCCAGGGTTTTGCAAAAAGCATCGTGGGGACGAATCGGGCTTGCAAAGACGATTTGCAGAACCGTCTTTGCAAGGCGCGCCCGGTGCAAAACGGGGACCGCTTTCAGACGAGACGCAGGTCGCCGTGCAGTCATTTGAATGATGCAGTCTTGGTTTTTTGACCGACTCCGTCGATCCCCCTCTATCTTTTACGCGCCGAGAGGCAATCCCGGAGGAGATTGAAAGCAATGGCTAACATTTCTCGCTTTCCTTAGTTTTTCGTCTTCTTCTAACTGAGCCTAAACTAAGGATATTTCGTGGGCAAAACATCTCCTGAAAACGAGGGAGAATGTCCCAATAGAGGTTTTTTGTTGGGAGGGTGGACGGACAAAAGATCGTGTGAGCAGTGTCATTAGAAGCAGTTTGTGGTACTGTTCTGCCCCTCCCTCAACAGTGGATTTTGTTTCGGTTATTTTTTATTTTATTGGTTCATGAAGGACACGGTGGAAAAATACAGGCATTAATGGAAAGATGTCATCTCCCAGAGCTTTGGAAAATTTTGTAAAAGAGGCAGCTGAAAAGTAAATCCTTTCCTTGGTGGCCCATCCTCAAAAGTCCAGCTGTGTTGTGTTTATTGATAGTACTAAAACCTCCTTCCTTCAATAACAACTGTCTGGATAGGTATTTTAAAAGGCAAAAAGACTCACCTGAATTGAGCAGGACTCCTTGCAGCTTCATGAACTAATAGTTTTTTTTGGCATCAAGGCAGATACTGTTTGCTATTGCTTCCTACTATTCAGCCTGTGCCTCCTTTATTTTTCCATGTCAAAGCATTTATCTGTCCTGTCCTTGCTTGCAACAGAGAATAGTGCTGCTCCCTCTCCAAGTTACCAAGGTAGGGAAACTCTGACCTAGATGCTTATCAGTTGCTTATCAGATGTGAGTGATAAGTGTGTGAAGTTATACCAGACTGGAGAATTTGGCTTTCACTTTAGAGGTCAAAATTCAGATTAACTTCACATTGGATCTATATCTAACAGGATGAAGTTCAGGGATGACAGTGTAACATATACCTGAATCAATGAAATCAAACACATAAGTACTTGTTTGGGAGTGTTGGGATTGTGCATGTGAGAAGAATCTGGAAACACTAGTGATCCACCAGCTGGATCACTACTGCAGAATCCCATGATCAAGCATTAGCAAAAGTAACAGAAGCACAGTGCAAAATACTGTAATTGTTCCATTGTTCTCTGTGCTGATTGGTCCATTTTCACAGAGTACAGGTAGTCCTCGACATACGTCCACAATTGAGCCCAAAATTTCTGTTACTAAGTTTAGTTAGTTAGTTAGTTTATTGTATTTATATCCCGCCCTTCTCCTTACGGACTCAGGGCGGCTAACAGCCAGATAAAACAATCACAAAAATACAAAATACTATAATTAAAACACAATTAAAAGAAGATATAATATTGGGCCTATGTTAATTTAAAATTATATTAAAACCCAGCTAAAAATTTCCCCTAGGCCAGTCCCGCTTGCTGAAATAGCCATGTCTTAAGGGCGCGGCGGAAGGAAGATCAGGGATCACCCTGATCTCTGGGGGTAGTTCGTTCCACAGGGTGGGAGCTCCCACAGAGAAGGCCCTCCCCCTTGGGGTCGCCAGCCGGCACTGTCTGGCTGACGGCACCCTGAGGAGACCCACTCTGTGGGAGCGTACTGGTCGATGGGAGGTAATCTGTGGCAGAAGGCGGTCTCGGAGATATCCA